TAGTCACATGACTAAGCCAATCTCAGCCATTGAAGTTCATTAATATCCAATGGTTCAAATTTATCTAGTTTAATGAAGGGTAAGGTGGTAATTACATAATTAAGTTATTTAATAATTAAAAAAACATAGCCTTGTTCTCCCCATACGCGCGGCCATTTCTTCTGGGGAATTCTCCCGACGGAAAATCCCAACCCGTGCCGCCATGGCCGTTTCTTTTTCTCCCGGTGGAAAATTCCAACCCGCGCTGCCGTTCCTTTTCCATGGCCGTTCCTTTTCCCATGGGGAATTCTTTTGCACGTGGAATTTATTTTGGGAGTTAATATTTGACGCCCTAAATTTTCAAATTTATCGCCCTAAATTTATCAAACATATGATTTTGCCCAACTTAAAGTAAATCTGGGAACCGACAGCTCAACTCAATTTCCCCTCCCTTTCCGGAAAATTTAGGGCGTCAAACTATGTCGCCTACCAGCAACAACCCGTCGAGAAACGGATCGTCTCCCGGCCCAAGCCTTCGCCAGTTCCCTACCCACCCTCACCATTCACCAGACGTAGACACCCTGCCTGACTAGCCTGCTCGCCGGCCGGGTTAAAATCCCGTCGCGGCGGTGTAGGGACAGGTCGTGAACTTTTTTTCGATACCGTCGAAGACGGGATTTCAACCCGTCCGGAGACCATACCCATAATTAAAAAAAAATGAAGGGCATGATCAGTGGCGGAGCCAGGATTTACAATTACCCCTGTCCTCTTTTCATAATATAAATATATAATTATTTAATTAATAATTATTTAATAAATAAAATTAAAACTAATTATATATAAATAATTCATTCACATATAAAAAATAATCGACTAATAAAATCACTGTTTTCATAAGCAACCACGACGGAATTTCATATTGTGAAAAAAACACAAAACATTTGTTGTCTACAATGTTAAGTAAGTCTCTTTTAATGTATCGTACTAAACAATCATTAGCAAATTGGTCGCCAATTCGACTTCAAAATTTGTTCTTAATATAACTCAAAACTGAAAATGTTCTTTCTGCACTTGTAGTTGCAAATTGGTAGAATCAAAACTAGTGGAATTGTCGTTGTTGCTGAAAAATTTCAAGATTGTTGGGGAAAAACGAATAGACATAAGGAGAAAAATAGATTTAATTAGGTCTTTATTGCAATTAAAAGTTCATTTATAGTATAATAAATTAATTTTATATCAATTTATGAACCACTAATAAGTTGTGTTGTACTGATAAAATACTATAATACCACCTTTAATTGTTTGTTCCACCATCAATATAAATATATATGGGTATTTTTTTCCACTCCGAAATTTGCCCCTGTCCCGTGACAAGGGCTAATGCCCCTGCCTCCGCCTATGGGCATGATGATCGGTCCGGCGACGGAGCAGAGGTGGGCGACGGAGCAAACAATCGCCCTTCTTCTCTTTCATACCCAGAATTAAACAAAAATGAAGGCATGATGATCGGTCCAGCGACGGAGCAGAGGTGGGCGACGGAGCAAACAATCGCCATTCTTCTCTTTCTGCTTCCTTCTTTCCACTTTCTTGTTTCTTTTTAATTTAATTACATTTTATGTAACTGATTTGGTGGAGAAACACACGCAAACGGGAAAGGGAAATGAATTTGGGTTAAGTTGGGGAAGGGCTAAAGTGTCTTTTTGGAAGAGTTTAGGGCGATAAATTTGAATATTTAGGGCGTCAAATAGAAGTTCAGTTTATTTTCCCCAACAAGCTTTTGTGCTCCAACAGGAGAGAGAGAGAGAGAGAGAGAGAGAGAGAGGACCGGTCGGAGGAAATTCCGACGACCAGCGACGGCGAAGAGGATTTCCCGACGATACTGTTTGTCATTTTTTTGTACGACCAGTATGCTTTGTACTGTTTTTCGGTTTATTTTGTAATGTTTGTACGCTTTAGTTATTTTGTAATGTTTGTTGGTTTTCTTTTGTAATGTTTGTAAACTTTGTTATTTTTGTGCACCATGTTTATCATTTTTGTCAACCATGTTTGTAATGTTTTTTATGTCTAAAAACAACCTGGTTGACTTTTGGTTGGAACTTCTCTATATAAGGATGGAGCCTCCAAAGTCAACCCGGGTGTTTTTTCCCGTTCGTATGAATTGTCGGTCTAGTTTGTCATTTTTGTCCACCATGTTCGTACTGTTTGTATGTCTAAGAAACACCCGAGTTGACTTTGGGAAGGAGCCCCTCTATATAGGGATGGAGCCTCCAAAGTCAACCCGGGTGTTTTTTCCCGTTCGTATGGATTGTCGGTCTAGTTTGTCATTTTTGTCCACCATGTTCGTACTGTTTGTATGTCTAAAAAACACCCGGGTTGACTTTGGGAAGGAGCCCCTCTATATAGGGATGGAGCCTCCAAAGTCAACCCGGTTGTTTTTTCTTTTTGTATGGTTTGTATTGTTTGTCAGTCTAGTTTGTATTGTTTGTACAGTTCATACGTTTCTAATGTTTGTAAATCTGTTTGTATGTTTTGTCTCTCTAGTTTGTACTGTTCGTATGTTTGTATGGTTTGTACTGAATACTGATTGTAAATTCGGTTTGTATACTTCGTAATTTTCCATAATACCCAAACTACCCCTGTCATTAATTAAATAGCCCTTCCCACTTTTTAACCATTGGATTGAAGTGTCCAGATCTAATGGCTAGGAGGGGCTTAGTCAAGTGACTAAGGACCCCCCTTAGTCATGGGATCCGCTCTCCCGCCCCTGCCATGGGTAGATATATATAAAACCTAGATCTATTTATTTGTTTTGGTTTGGTAGTGGTTCATTGTTTGTTTAATTTTATGAAAAGGTATAATATTGTCTTTTGTTTTGTCGCATTGGTATTGATTAAATCTGTAATGGTATTGGTGTTTTGTGAAATGGTAGTATTTTTATTTCTCGAAGGGTATTGGTTTTTGTGCAATTGTAGTATTTTTTTAATGGATTGGTATTGATTTATTGTTTTGCTGTTGCAGAGGTATTAGTTTGGCTGAACGAAATCAAGGAAAGATTGAAAAAATAAGGAAGAGAAATCTGGCTGAAGATTGTGGAAGTGAGAGAAAGAAAGAAAAAAAAATTAGTTAATATATTTATGTAATTTTCTAATATATAATTCATTAAAAAATAATTAATAAATTTTTTGTTATACTCAGTTTGCCCTTAGTAATTACGGTGATTACCGTACCCCTACTATCATTTCAATATCACTAATTTCTATGCCTTGCTAATTTCAGAGCTTTTCAGTAGAGTAGCCGAAGTTTTGAAAACAGAGTGTGAATTGGAGCCTGAGGGATGGAGGGAGATGCTTGAGTAGTTACTGGAGCCGAAACCTATAAAGCTTAAATTCTTTGAAATAATCAATTGGAGCTGGAAAAGTTGTCACCCTGTAAAAACTGGAAAAAATTCTAAAATACATTTGTTTTTTTAAAAAAATTGTCAAAATACACACGTTATGGAAAAAATTCTTAATCTACACATGTTTGGACATTCACCGCGACAAAGGAAGGCGGTGATTGCATCACCGCTGTAGAGGAAGGCGGTTTCCCACAGCTGCAGAGCACGGTGGTGAATGCTTCACCGCGTTTCTCGGCCGCTGTGAAGGCCTAAACTGCGTCGAAACTTTAAATGAACGTAATTGTGTGCTCGGTTATCCGATCGTAGCGAAATTTTTTTTGATCCCTCATAACTCTTCGAGAAGTAGCGTAACTTTGTGCTTGGTTATCCGATCGTAGCTTAACTTCTCAAAATGTTTATGCGGAATAAAAAAAAAATTCGCTACGATCGGATAACCGATTACAAAGTTACGTTCGTTTAAAGTTTCGACGCAGGTCAGGCCTTCACCGCGGTCGAGCCTTCACCGCTCTGCTCTGCAGTGGTGATGCAATCACCGCTTTCTTTACCACGGTGAATGCCCAAACATGTGTACATTGACAATTTTTTTTCATAACATGTGTATTTTGAGAATTTTTTTAAAAAACATGTATATTTTAGAATTTTTTCAGTAAAAACTTGGACCCGCTAAATAACAAGAAACTAACAATGGGCGGTGGAAAGGAGGTTCCAAGTACAACCAGACAATGACCGGACCGCTTTATAGAGCCGAGCGACATTGTTATCTGCTGTGTATACTTTTCCTTGCATACGCAGTGACAGTGCTTTTTCCCTTCAAATAGAGGCCTCCCTAGCTAGTAGGGCTGGATATATGGTTCGGGTTTTTTTGTTTTACCTGAAACCGGACCGTATAATTTGGATCGGGACCGGATCGTAAACAATCCAATCCAAAATTTGGGTTTAGATTTGAGGTAAAAAATTGTTCGGGATCGGATCGAAAATTGGATAGAGATCGGATAAGAGAGCTCAACATAAAAAACTTAAGGGAAATTTGTTTAAACGGTCACAAACCTTTGTACTTAGTACAAAACTTAACCAACTCATAACCCTTTCAGGCCTTAGGCCACACAAATCCTCACAAGCTCAATATAAAATCAAGACCGAATTGGGACCGGACCGGATCAAGACCGGACTGTATCCAATCCAATCTTTGGTCCTTATATTTTCAAAAAGGCCGAACTGGACCGGATCAATTTGGGCCAATTTAACCTGACCGGACCGTATAGCCACCCTACTAGCTAGCTACCATTTTCCGATTCCAGGGTGCTGGGTTGCTTCCATTTCCCATGGACAATCAGCCGATTCCAAAGGAGCTATTTTGGAACTCTCACGAGATCGGGAAGATAGATGGCTTCTGGTATTTCTTGGAGGCAATGAATGGCACCGCCGCATTCCGGTCAGAATTCCAGCCTAGAAATAACGACATTCTCTTTGACATCCTTCACCAAAACCAGAACCCCTTGGCTCAAGGCTCTCTGCTACAACATCCTCACCAAAGAAGTAGGAGAAGACCTTTCTTGCAAAGAAGAACCCCCACGAGGTGGTTCCCACCCTCGAAAACACTTTCCTCAAAGACCAAGTCCAACGTATGTTGCTCAGTTGTTCGTCTCCTCGATTGCTCCACACTCATCTGGCTTATAGCTGCTTGCCGGAGGCGGTGAGGGAGCCTGGGTGCAAGTTCGTGGACCTGGCTCGGAACCCAAAGGACACGGTGGTGTCGATGTGGCATTTCTACAACAAGCTGCTCACACGTGGCGGTCCTGGGCCGTTTCCACTGGAGGGAGCGGTGGAGAGCTTCTGCAGCGGGGTCCTACCTTTCGGGCCTTTCTACGAGCACGTGGTGAGATATTGGAAAGAGAGCCATAGGAGGCCTGGGGAGGTGTTGTTTCTCAAATACGAGGATCTATGGAGAGAGCCTAAAGAGCAGGTAAGAAAGCTGGCTTTGTTTCTTGGGAAGCCCCTTTCTCAGCTGAATAGGGACGATGAGGTGGAGAAGGTGTTGTGGAGGAGCAGTTTGGCTAGGCTCAAGGAGTTGGAGGTTAACAAGAGCGGCGTTGGAGAGCTGAACCATGTGCCTAATGCCACCTACTTCAGGAGAGGAACCGTGGGGGATTAGAAGAATCACTTGACTCCACAAATGGTTCAAGGCATTGACCAGCTCATGCTATCCAAGTTGCAAGGAACTGGACTTTCTTTTGACGATTAATTGTTGAATCTATTGATGCTAATTTGTATCGTATCCTTTTCTTTTGCTCAAGTACTTTAGTGTTGCCTTTTGTGTTTTCTAGTTCCAATTTCATATTGGTGCACATTGACTCTTTTGACGGGAAATTGAGATTGTTACCGTCAATAACATGTGTTGTCATCAACTTACGTGTAGTAGCTTTTCCCCCTATTTTCTGTTTTTTTGTCTTTTCTAAATCTATTTTTAGACTTTCCAAATTATGAGTTTGGGCTTTGATTCTTTGGTTACCCAAATCAAACTAAAATCGTTAAACGTCTTATTGGTTTTCGGTTAATCAATATATGTTCCACTGACATTTAGTTTTCACCACCCTAGGGTGTCAGATCCTACGTTGTAGAGCTTCTTGCTACTAGATTTATCCTCTCTATTGTGACCTCCCATCGTCTGCTTCATGTTATTATGGAAGTATATTTTGAGGTGGTGATTTGTTAACTTCACCTAAGAGCGTTCGCAGTTTTAACTAGAGGTAGGGGTGTTCAAATGGTTATCATGGTTATAACCAAATCAAATAAGGCTAAATTCCATTAACCATGGAATACAATATCATAACCAAACCGTCCAAACTAATACAACAACCAAATTAACCAAACTAAAGTTTAATTGGTTTGGTTAATTGGTTAACCAGATTAACCAATATAAAATCACATTATCATTGACGATGAAAAGATTATATACATTTTCGTGTTTTCGGGTTCGGGTTCGTTTCGGGTTTTTCGGTTTCGGGTTCGGTTTTGCTTATCGGTTTTTCGGGTTTCGTCTAAAAACCTCCAATGAATAGAACTCAGCCCGTATTCTTAGGCGTTCGGGTTTTCGGGTTTCTGGTAACCGGAACCCGCAAGTCCTTAACAGGTTCGGGTTCTGTTTTAGTGGTTTTCGGTTTCGGGTTTTCGGGTTTTTTGGGTTTCGATTCGGGTAACCGAACCGACCAGAACTTACACCCCTAGCTGGAAATGACCTTCCTTTCAAGTTTTCATCCATCATTATGTATGAAATTTATCTAAATTAGGCGTCCATATGTTGTGGTCTACACTTTACATATATACAAATATACACTATATAAACAATATTGAGCTTTATATTTTATGAGTCTAAAAGGGATGAACGTTAACTCTTGAGTGGTTATGCAAAGTATTAAGTATGTGTATATAATATATGTTACATATATGACTAATTACTTAACTGGTTAATTTGGTTTGACTGGTTAGGAGTGTCTGAAACCAAACCAAACCACCTAAACCAACAAGTTAAAAACTTTAACCAAACCAAACCAATTATCCAAATTAACCAAACCAAATTATCCAAATAGTACCGATTAAAACGGTTACCATGGTAACCAAACCGTTTGAACACCCCTAACTAGAGGGCCCTTGCCCTGAGAATGTCGTCCACTGATTCCTTTTGTATTTTCTTTAGCTCAGTTCTTAGGGCCGCAAACAAGGTTGATCATAGAGTCGCGTGTAAAACTCTATTGCTCTCTCCTTTACACTATGTTTCCGAAGAAAGGGAGGAAAGTGGAGGGGAGAAGAAGGAAATTAGGAGGGGAGGGATAATTTGGAGGTTAAGGAAATTGGAAGGAAAATGGTTCGAATTTTTTTTGAATTTATTGTTAAAATTTTGTTCTCTATTTTATTGATTCACCAACTTAGCAACTAAAAACGTAAACATACAATAAATCACACTACACATATACAAATTTGTATCTATTTAAAACTTTTGTATCGTATTATTGTCAAGTCGTTTCATTTTTATGTCACATGTAACATTTTTATGTATCGTGTAAAATAACGTTATGCATGTCGTAATTCAGTGTACATAAAAATAACAAAACGTATTGCAGGTTCAACCAGAAAAATTGTGTGTCAAAATCCAAATCGCTATAGGATTTTATCGATATGAAATGATTGAACCATAATTTAAATATAAATACCCTACTATTAAGTTATTCGACGGAACCCCTACAATTTTATAATTTCATTTCGATGGCTACGTTCAGTATAGCAAAAGATAAATTGGTTTTATTTTAAATTTATTAATCAATTAATAGTGGACTAACTAGCAAATGAAGGTTGAAGTAAAAAACAAATATAATCTGTCTCTCATTTAAGTCCCCTTATTAAGTAATATAATAATAACAAATAAAAAAGAACCTTATACCCAATAGCCAACACACAACAAAAGTGATTTTCCCTCTCTTTCTCTCCAAATTGAAGGGTCGGCTCCTACAGTGCCATTTTCCCTCCCTTCCTTCTGTACATCAACTTCAAAAACAAAGGAAGATACTCTCTCTCTCAAAAAAATTCAATGGAAGGAAAACTCTCCGAAACACTCCGACCAAACACACTTCTGGTAAAATCCGCATCAAGATTTAAGATTTCTACAGCTGCCGGCAACGGAGCATTCAATGTTCCTCACCAGAGGACTCTCTCAATCTCAATCAACATCAAGATCAATCAAGTCTACCATCTGACGAACAACATCAACCTGAAGCACAGGAAAGAGATCCACACCAGGCATGAACGAAAGTGCAGTTATGGTAAACCCTTCAGCCAGACCAATGAAAGCATCCACGTAGAGGGGGGGGGGGCAGGGGAGACAGAGTCAACCAGAAGCTATTACTCCACCGCTCAAACCACCAGAGAATCAACCAGTCAGGGAACACAGTGATCTAGCTCATACTTCGTCTAAGAGAGCATGGAGACCAGAGGGGCCAGATAGCAAAAGGAAGAGTAGTGCAATAGAGGCACAACTAACCCGATCTGCAGAAGATCCCCACATTAAAGGCAGGGAGAGGACACCTGAGATAAAGACAGGAGGGAGCCGTCAAGCAATCATCTCCATTTATTATGAGCTCAGACTGCGGCACACAACTACTGGTTATATTTCTGGCAGAGAGCATACCTACAAGGAACCAAATGCAGATCGAGCCCAAAGTGAACAAAGACTCTCCAGAGGAGGAATAAATGTCGTGCCAGACAAATACCATAAATGGCTATTAAGAGGATGGCTGACATACTCCAAGAAGGAAAGAGGCAGAAAGGGAGGATCAGCAAAAGGATTAACATTCAATGCCCGAAGGAATACGGAGAGACTCATCAGAGAAGGAATTCGAGCCTATTTAAAGGAGGGTTTAGAAAGACCACATCATCCTCAAAACCATACCACAGACCTGTCCAGCAAAACAGTCTCACACCCTCTCTTAGTGCACCCAGCCACAAAAACAGACACCAAAATGGAGAACAACTCTCTGAATCTCAGGGGAGAAAAGAGCCACTTGATCCTGAACGTCCGGCCAACCATTGTCGGAGCAAGAGGCAGCGGCATGTCTATGCTTTTAGGCAAATGGATCACCGACTCGAGCATTCCACTACACAAGGCCAGAAATGCAGCCTTCAGCAAATGGCGGGCATATGGGGAGGTTCAAGCATCCAAAGAAGCCGAGAACCTATTCGTCTACACCTTCCAATCCCAGCAACAGAGGGATGCTGTCTACGATGCAAGACCGTGGAACCTCAGCAACACCCTCATTGCTCTGAAGAAATGGGATGGGGAACAAAAGGCGGATGCAGACGATATCAAGACTGTCACCCTGTGGGTACAGATGCACGATCTGCCCCAGTCCCTGAAGGACGATGAGGCGATACAAGCACTGGCTGAGTACATCTTCCCATCTTTTCACTGCCTGGACCAGTCGAACCTCGATTTCAGAGGATGGCTCAAGTTTATCAGAGCCAAGGTGGAAGTTCAGCTCGATCAACCCATCCCCATTGGCTTCGAGTACCCACTGGGGGAGAACTCGATATGGGTCAGCTTCAAGTATGAGAGGATAATGGACCTCTGCTATTTCTGTGGAAGATTGGGTCACCTGATCCACAACTGCCAGTACAGAGAAGACCACAGGAGAAGAGGTCTAAGCACTGAGCCATCGGAAGTATACACAGCAGCATTGAAGGCGGGCAATGACTCTCCGGCGAATACCCCGCCGGCGTCGTTCAGGGAGAAGATGGCCAAGGCCCGTCGACCAACCCTAACGGGATACTCAACAGGACTGATTCGCGGATCCCGAGGAGATAGCTCCCTACTGCACTTGACTGGCCAAGCATCCTCATCGAGCCCACCAGGGTTCCCTGCTCTGACTACGCCTGCAGCACTCAGAGGTACGGCCTGGACCTAAAGGGGAGAAGTCATAGTTCCTGCAACGACCACAGCTCCTGCAGCGACTGTCCCAACCTCCTTTCTGGACCTCGAGATGGAAGCTACGGCCAGGGCGATGCAGAGGTCTCTTGACCTGGGAGAAAGGGGAAACAACAAAGACAAAGAGGCAGGCCTATTTGAAATGGGCCGTAGTCTGTCCTTGGCAAGCCCATGCTACACAAGCCCATGCTACACACCTGAAGAAGCCCAATTAACCAACTTGGTGCACAACTCAAGTCATCCGCTGCAAAGCCCACAGGAGACGAGAAGCAGTCCAATCCAGGAGAAGGGGATCATCACTGGAGAAGAGGAGATCAGGGCCAGACCGGAAAAGAAGAGGAAGCCGGAGGAGTTTTCAAGCCCAAGCAACCCAATCCCACAGATGGAATCCACAACTAACATCTCCTTTGACTCTCTGTCTTTTGTACCAGGGGAAAACAGAAAGACGTACCAGAGGAGGAGAAGCACTATAAGGAGGAGAAGCATGGCGGAGCTGACCACAGAAGGTACTCAGTCCGGAGAAGGCGAATCAAACTCTCCGAGGGCAGCGGTGGCACGCCTGAAGCCACCTCAAAGGGAATGAGGATCATCAGCTGGAACTGTAGGGGATTTGGCCAATCCCTTACAAGAAACTACTGTGCCAGGCTCTGCCGCCAGTTTGGCCCTTCTCTGCTTTTTCT